AGATATTAAAATTACTCCCAATATCCTTTTATAATTTCTTTCCACTATCCTTATTTTTTACCTAATTCACAATAGAATCCGCCTACATCTAAATTTTCACCTTTCCAAGTTGCTATCCATTTTCCTGTTTTTCTTTTATTCTTTCCATATTCACCTACCCAATTTAGATATCTTATCTGTTCTAAATTATACTCTAATTCAGGCTTTTCCTATCCTTCCTATATTTTCTCTCTTTATAACCTTTTTAATATACATTTTGATTAATTATCCTTCATAATAATAAACCATTTCTTTGTTTTTGCTAAAATGCCTTTTAATTTTAGATTGATATTATAAAACATATTCCTCTCTGCAAATGTATGACAAAATTGAAAATTCTTGAAAGCCTTCATTATGTAAATTATCACATTCAGAACCTTATTATTTTAATGATAATTAATTTACAATTAATTTCTAAACTATGCTAACTTTCTTTTTAACAAAATTCAATGGCTTGATCAATTTTTTCTTCATTTTTTACTTATTTCTCACTCTACATTTAAAATACAAATAAATCGATTACTTTATTTTAAGGAAATTAATTAAAATCTTATCTAAACTTTATAATTCTTTCATAAATTTTTCAAATATAGGATTGTAATTAAGAATTATTACAATAAGATATTCAATGATTCTTGATATTAATTAAAAATTGAAAAGAAATGGTATAGTATGGTCCAAAAGAGTAATTCAAAGAAGAAAAAAAATAATTTCTGTAAATTTGAATTAATTGATTTTAAGATATTTAGAGACAAAAGAAGAAATAAAATCTTATTAAATTTGGAATAAGAAAAATTTTAAATAAGTTTAAAGTATATATTTGGAAATTTTGATTGGCACATGAATAATGATAAAAAGTTAATTTAGATAATCAATATCATAAAAGATTCAACTGCACAACAACAGGAGATTATTTAAGAAATTACTGAATCAATATATATCATATTATATTAATGAGGATCTTGAGGGGCAGATATAAATTAATATATGTTAGATTAAGACAATATATTAGGTTTAATTTAAGATCTTGAAGTATAATAATTTAAATTATTTCAAGCATTTACTGATGGAGTCGTCAAATAAAATAAAGACAACACCATTCAATTAAATTAGATAATGAATATGAAAATGATTAGAACTTATTCCCAATTATATATAATTAAAATAAACTATATGAGGATGGATTAAATGAATTGTGAAATTAAATATGTTTTGGGCTATGAGAAATGATGCATAATATTTAATATTTTTGGATATTAAATAATTGAAATTTTGATTATATCAGATGAATTATTAATAAAATGATAAATAATGAATAAGAAAATTTACATTAATGTATTTTCCTTTTTGTTTTATAAATATTAATTGTAAAAATAAAATTCAAATTAAATTTTCAACTTTAATCCATTCTTAC